TCTTTTTATCAATTTCTCTTCCTTCCTTTTCTATCAATTTCCTCCTCTCACACACACACTATTTTTATTTCTGCATGACCATTTCTCAATCAGATTTATTTCCTGAGATCTTCAATTTTCAATTAGAGATGGTTTTCTACAATTTCCTTTTTGTCTTCTCATGGTGCTTTATAAAATGCTGATTTCTGATATTGTAGAAATTCTTATTAGAAGTGTCTGTTAGAGTGTTCATAAAATGCATGCATATTTAATTGTGACATGAGTTTATTCAAAAGCCATTTGTTAAATATCTTTCTTATAATTACATTACTACATGTTTATAAAAAGGAATTAATACAATGAGGAAATACTTTTTAATACATTTCAATTAACTGAATATAACTAACCTAGTGAATTAAATTTAATAAATTACTATTTCTTTGTAATTTATCTCATACATACCACATATTAAACATATCTAACATATTTGAGCATGTGTGTGCCCATGCATGTGTTTGTGCATGAGTTTTCTCAGTTTGTAAGTGTTTCTTACAAAGGCCTGAAAGATTTCTCCTTTTGTTGTTTAAGATCATTGCAATTCTTAAATACATCAGAATTTTTTTAATACACATTTAAATTCTTATAACAAGAATAAACTAAAAATATATGATAGCAACAAAAATAAAACATAATTCAATAGAGTATAATAGTTATGCATGATTTCAAAAAATTCTTTTATAAACCAAGGAGCTAAAGATAATCCCTTTAATATTAGAAAGTGACAGTTAAACTACTCCCAAGTTAAACCACAAACAAACAATAAACCTAAACGTGCTTGAAAAAATATTAAAACATCTCCAGAAAATTCAAAAAAATACCAAGATGATTCTATATTGTCTCATTTTTTTCCTTAGAGAGAAGGGAAGGTAGAAAGACATGGAGAAAAATATCAGTGTGAGAGAGAAACATCAATTGATTGCTTTTCATATGGTCGAACCTGCAACAAAGGCACATGCCCTGACTGGAACCGAACCTGAGGCCTTTGATTTTCAGGACAGAGCCCATCCAACTGAGGCATCACTTCTATTTTGATTCATGCCTCAGTCAGTACACTAAAATAAGAGAGAAAATGATAACTTGGGAGGTAGAGCAAACATACAAGAATACCTGACAAGAATGCAGGATAAATAAGTATAAACAAATAAGAGAAAAAATAAATGTGGCATAATTTAAAAAATAGTAATAAATTTTAAAGTATAAGACAAAGTGCATAAACATTTTAACACAACAAAAATGCTCTTTAATTGATATGATTGAAGATAGATAATTTATATAAGTAATTTTTCTCTTCCTGGCAGCAAACTAAAAAATGGGTTATACTTTTAACTTTAAAAAAAGACTTGATTAGCCCTGGCTGGTGTAGCTCAGTGGATTGAGGGGGAGCCTGCTAACCAGAAGATCACGGTTCAATTCCCAGTCAGGGTACATGCCTGGGTTGCAGGCTGGTTCCCAGCAAGGGGACTCATTAGAGGCATCCATACAATGATATTTCTCTCTCTCTCTCTCTCTCTCTCCTTCCCTTCCCCTCTAAAGATAAATAAATAAAATCTTTAAAAAAAGACTTGATTATTATCTTTATGTTTTTCTTTTTTCTAGAAAAAACTAATCACTCTCAAGCAAATCTAACATGACTGACAGATTTTCGTCCATCTACCAAAACCATGTAGTAGAAGACCAATAACTAACTGAAATATCTCCTTGGACCATCAACAAAGGAATCATCCAGAAACTTGATAAACAATATAGTAATTAGTGATCCTTTCAAAATATGTTGAGTCATATTTATTTTAACAAAATATTAAGGTGATTCTTCTTTACATTAAGAAACATTTCACTCAAGCACTGTATTATTACCAAATGTATGAGAACTTATGCATGATTATGTATTAAGGGCAGTTAGGAGGTTTACAAAAATTACAGACAAAAAGTGAGAATCCATAGTGAATTTTGTCTCTTTCTAACTACATTATATGAATATTATATTAAATAAATTAGATGTAACATATTATAAAGACAGGTTGGCTACCTGTGGTTGCTGGCCTATGGTTTGCTCCTATTTGTTCCAAAGAGAATCTTCTGCTTTCACAGTAAATATAGTATAAATCTACATAACCTAACATGGCTGACTTCAATAATTGAATAAACAAAATTAAAAGACTAAAAAAAATAAGCATAAGGTGGGAGAACATACATGTAACTAACAAATGGCTTAGCTTATACTTATAAAAAACAAAACTTTTGCAAATGAGCTTGGGAAAGACAGATAAATCAATAGAAAATGTACAAGATTGAAGCAGAGGCTTCAAAAAAGGGAATATACATGGCCATTATAAACATATAAATATAGGCACATGATTTTAAGTTAGAAGAAAATTAATATACATATTGATGGCTTGTTCTCTTTCCAAACTTAGGATTCTAATATGCCTAGCAAACTTGGCCCAGGATGTGCTGGGAAATGAGCCACGAGCAAAAATTGAGTTTGAAGATTGCCTCTAAGATTTTATCAAACTCAATTTCTTCAAGCTAAGAATGTATTATGAGCTCGATGCTACATCAATTTTCCTTGAGTCAACCCCATGGAAAATTTTCCACAAAGTGTGGTGTTATTGTCCAAATAGCTCTTGCTCGTTGCCATCCCAAAGGGCTCTCTGGGCTTTATAAAACAGTGCTTAGGAAGCAGAAATGGAGAGTCTAAACGGTTCTTCCTGCTTCTAATATTTTTCCTATCATTCATTGACTTTAAGGAGAAATGTCATTTTGGTAAAAAAAAAAATCACAAAGGAGGTAAGAAGTAATTCTACTCTTTCATAATGTCTGGAAAAATTTGCATTGCATTTTCTACCTTTTTGGATCCTGAAGAGATGGGCTAGATGTAGAAACAAAAGCAACTCAAAAGATCCTCATGGAGACTTGAGAACCTTACAGAATTTCCAAGGAGGGATGTAATGTACATAGTGGTGGAAATGTATATCTAGGGATGTTCTAGAAATGCTCATCCTGGATGATATACGTAAGAAGGATATATATTTCAAATATTACATGATTATTCTTTATGACTCCCGGCAGGTAGATACATGACCTTGGACAAATTATTACACCTAAGACTTGTTTTCTTATCTATAAAATGGATAAAATGATAGCATAAGAGCATAAATGAGGAAATTTATATAAATTTTTATTTACAGGGTGTCATGTTACTATAATAAAGTTAAATTAATAATAACTATATAGTAAAATAATTAAAGGTATAGTGCTTATCCTCTACATTTAAATTAAATCGCAATAATGACCACTTCTAAAAAACAATGCAGTTCTCAATTCAATGGCAAGACAAAGGTCAGAACACAAATGGCCACAGCCTACTGACATGAGGTAATTTTAGCCTTATCTAGCACAGAAAAACATGTTCTATGGTTCAGATAAAAAGTTTCGGAAGATAGGCACATTCGTAAGATGATGGATATCACGTACTTATTTGTAGCTTTGACTTTCATTTAAGTTCCAAACACTTATACTTAATAAATTATAGATCCCCAAGGAAACCAGGTCCTTGGACAGTTCTTTGAATATTCACTCATTTAGAGGTTAGGAAGAACAGCAAAATCCAACATAACAGCAGACAGTTGAGACAGAAACACTAAGAAATTATACTTTTTTTAAAGCCAAGTTTATTCCATACTCTGAATATTCTCGGAGAAGTCTAAGAGTCAAGCCTGACAAGCAAAATGAGGGAGATTATGTGGATGATTGAATAGTGATTCAATAATTTCTAGATCCTGAACTAAGAGGTAAAAAAGAACCTATAGCATAATGACTTTGGGAAAGATAATTTTTTGAACCAACAATCAAGGAATTGTTTTCATATGTTAAGAGGCACCAATTTTTTTGTCCTTAGAAGAGCACCAAATGCAGAAACTAAAGCAAAACAAACAACAAAAATGCATACACGTATTTCATAGAATATGGAAGTATAGTCTGAAAAAGAGATAGCTAATAGAGGAAAGTAGTACTGTCTTCAACTTCAGATATTATATTCAATTAAATAAACAATTATGAAGCTATAGCTATGTTCCAGTTAATCTACTAGGCACTGAAAATACAGTTGTGAACAGTATAACCACAATTCCCTATGCTTATAGTCTAGTAATGGGAGAAGACAGACATTAAGTAATAATAATGAAAGTATGTAAAAAAAGAAGCAATTTTGTATAAATGAAACTAGATTCTGTACTTGTGGAGAAAAGAAGATAGAAACTTTTAGAAACACGTATCAACTCAATTCAAGGGAGACAAATAATTTGAGTGTTCAACCATGAAGTAGAAAGCTTTGAGTACTATTTAATATACCAATACTAGGAATAAGGTACAATGTTAGCTGATGGTGACATATTGATTTAGAGTGATTCTGTACAAGCAAGAGTAAGACTATGTGTTTTCAAGGTCCCTTTTAACTCAAGACTGTATAATTACAAACTTTTAGTTCTGTCATTATTTCAAGTATTATCCTATTAGAGATAAACAGATTTGAAACAATTTATGAATTCTACCTTCCTTCCCAACTTATAGAACATTGCTTTTTCCCTTTATAATTTTGTTTTTATAAAACTGAAATAAGAGAACCATAAAATTGGTGACCCGATTTTATGAGATTTAGCCATGGGTAGTTGCATGTGGTCAAAGGATTTGGGGGGATTATTAAATGTGCAGTCCCAATGATTGACATTTTTTACAAAATTAAAATAAATTCCTGAATGAAGAAGCAAATCAGATTCTTCTCATTTGTTTTTGTGTTTGAATTTTCTGACAGCCTGAACTGACAATAAATGCATAGAACACCTTAAGAAGTCTCTGATTGTCATCTTAGTTCCTGTGACCTACAGCGTACCAGAAAGGGACATCTTCTGCCAGACTTCATTTAGAAAATTTCTCACTGCATTGCAGTAAGCACCTGGTTAGGTATCTTTTCATGTGTTATGTCTCCTCTTAATGACACAAACATTGAAGTCCTTAGATTCCTCCTTACTGGGATCCCTGGACTGGAGAAGAGTCACATCTGGATATCTATTCCTTTCTCATCTGTGTACCTTCTTTCTCTCCTGGGAAACTTTATCGTTCTCTTTCTTATCAAGACAGAGCCAAGCCTCCATGAACCCATGTACTATTTCCTTTCCATGCTCTCCATCTCAGACCTAGGGTTGTCCCTTTCTTCCTTACCCACCACTTTGGGGCTATTCCTATTCAGTGTCCATGAAATTCATGCAGCTGCCTGCTTTGCACAAGAGTTCTTTATCCATTTATTCACAGTCACTGAAGCTTCTGTGCTATCTGTAATGGCATTTGACCGATACGTGGCCATCCACAATCCTCTGAGATACAGCACAATCTTAACCAGCTCTAGAGTCATCAAAACAGGGCTCTTACTGACTTCTAAAAATGTTCTTTTGATCCTTCCATTGCCCTTTCTCTTGCAACGGCTGATATACTGTCATCAAAACCTGCTCTCACACTCCTACTGTCTCCACCAGGATGTCATGAAGCAGGCATGCTCTGACAACAGAGTCAATGTTGTCTATGGACTCTTTGCTGCGCTCTCCACCATCCTGGATTTGTTGTTTATTACTTTTTCCTACATAATGATCTTAAAGACAGTCCTGGGAATTGCAACCCCCAGAGAGCAGCTGAAAGCCCTCAATACCTGCATTTCTCATGTCTGTGCCGTGCTCATCTTCTATGTACCCATGCTGAGTGCAGCAATGCTCCACCGTTTTGCCAGAGATGTGTCTCCTCTGATCCACATACTCATGGCTGATGTTTTCCTACTAGTGCCCCCACTGATGAACCCCATTGTGTACTGTGTGAAGACTCGTCAAATCCGAGAAAAAGTTATGGGGAAACTTTGTCCAAAAAGAAGTTCATCAAAGGAATGAGAAAGGGAAAACATTTGTAAGTAATGACTGAATAAACTTTGAATGTGTGGCTGGAATAAAGCATGAAAATGTAGAATGGCCTTGGGTTTCATAATCAGACAGAGTTCATAGAGTGAATGGCTTTTGAAACTCAGTACCCTCAGTACCCTGCTGAGCACTGATGGAGACAATCATGGGGTTATTCAAACTGGTACCCAACATCTCCTGTCTCAGCTGATCATCAAATATCACTAGGAATACTGTTATTTTACTCCTCTATTCAGCTCCCACATCCATTTTTCAGATTCTTTAGTACTGTACTTTGCTATGTATAATGGACACCCATGTTTTTGGCCCCAAATTTCAGGAAAAAAATCTTTTGTTTTAATTTTTTAATTCAATTTTTAATTTATATATAAAACCACTTATCATTCTGTATTATTTTGCATACAGATATTATTATTGCTTTTTATAGTTACATCTTTTTTAAAAGATTTTATTTATTTATTTTTAGACACAGGGAAGGGAAAGGGGGAGTGAAACATCAATGTGTGGTTGCCTATTGTGCACTCCCATACTGGGGACCTGGCCCACAACCCCGGCATGTGCCCTCACTGGGAATGGAACAGGCAACCCTTTGGTTTGAAACCCATGCTCAATCCACTGAGCTACACCAGCCAGGGCTTGAGTTACACTTTTAATGAATAAGCATAAATAAAAGAATTAGAAACAGTTATATAGATATGGAATCAATTCACTACCTATGTATAATGTGCATCCTTATTTTTCTCTAAAATATTTGGGCAAAAAGTGAACATTATACAAGGCAAAATATAGTATCTCTACTTCTTTTCTGCATGTTTTCTTTATAAATATTAATGTATTTTGATTATTCAAAGTAAAGATAATGACACATGACTGACTCTTATCTTTTATCATTTGACTTAAAGTCTACTGTATATATTCTACCAATTTATTCCATTCCTCTTCAAGAAAAATCCCTCTCTGTCAAAATTTAATTATAACTCCTAAGAGGTAAATTCCATATATTCTTGTGTTTTGGGCAACCTTGCTGCGCCTTCTATATTTTTTCTTTTTTTTCCAGTCTCCCTACTAATAGCTACTTTTTCTCAGCCAATAGGCATGTTTGTTTTAAAAGAGAAACATTTTAAGAGTGGCATGCCTTTGCAGCCTCAACTTTCTCAATTCTCATGAATTAATTATTTTAATGTGTTTTAATTTATTTATGTATAGTAATATGTATATACACATATATCAGTATGCATTTAACATGAATGCATGTTGTTTTTTAAGTTATTCTTTTGTTTCTTGTCACTTCTTCTTCATCTGTGTACACCCAGACATGAACAAATCATACTAGCCCTTCAGGCCACTAGTATGAACAGCTAACAATGTTTCTGAAAAGATGCACTACCTGCATTCCAGTCAGGAAAACACCAGATTGGGAAGTTCTGCTTATCGCAGGATGTTTAACAATCCAGTCAAAATTCCAGTAGTTCACCCAGACTCTTGTGAATGGTGGGAACCCTTTTCAAACCTTGTCTCATATTGTGTTTATATTTATATAATCATAGAATGGTGTATATATTGGTGGAATTTATGCTATTGAACAATATTTGCATTTCTCTAACAACTCAAGATGTGCAATAATCTTTTTCTTTGGAAAATATGTATGCATTTATTTTTCTACCACATGTTTTTTCAATAACCTTAATCATTTTCAACTTTATTAACAATCTCTAATTTTCTCTAAATATACTTTGTGTTAGCTTTCTAATTTCTCAAAACACATTAACTTTTATTTCAGTTAAGACATTTAAAAGTAATAATTAGACACTTTTAAGAATTAACAAGGCTACAAAAATAAATACAATTATATAATAATATACATTAATATTTAAAAATATATACATACTTCATAATTCTTCATATATATTTAATTATTATGTATATGTGCTTCATATATAAAATATTGATATATTAATTAAAATTACTTTAGTATATTGGTTGGTTAGTGAAACAGTTTTAAACAGAAGATATTTTCAAATATAAATTTTCTCTAGAAATAAAGCAATCTATACAGCTTGCCTTCCATGTACACCTCTGTTTGCAAGCTTTGGATTAGCAAATAATTTCTGTGTGCTGAAAACATAAAATCTAGATTTTTTGGTATTCCAATTTTTCAATATTTTGATTAAAGATGTCTAAATTACTTTGAACAAAACACATGCAAAAATTTAACCCTGGCTGGTGTGACTCAGTAGACTGAGTGTCGGCCTGCAAGCTGAAAGGCTGTTGATTGGATCCCCAGTCAGAGCACAAGCCTGGGCTGCAGGCCAGGTCTCCAGCTGGGGACATGGGAGAGGAACCAATCATGTATCTCTCACATACTAATGTTTCTCTCACTCTCTTTCTTCTTCCCTTCCCCTCTCTAAAACTTAATAAGTAAAATCTTTTTTAAAAAATAGAGGTTGTGTTCTCTGGAAGCAGATGTTAAGATGGAATCAGTGTGCAAAAATTTAAATGTGTGAAAGAGAAGGGGAAAACTCAGGATTGAGTAAAGAGAGACATTAGGCCACACTTCACAGATAATGAAATATCTGCCAGGCTGAATGGGGGCTCAGGGCAAAGACTGCTTTATGAAGGAGTTTGCACTGATCAGAAAGGGCCAATTACTTATACCACTACTTGCTCACTGATTACCAAGTCACCCCAAGACATTGTTTCTTCAAGTGGGAGATGAAAAGTATGTTTTCACATCTGTAAATATGTTTTGTCTCAAAAATCCCTTAATTCAGCTACTCTAAATATGTATGCAAAGAAAATAGACTAGAAAAAGAATTGCCTGGCTATAATCATAAATATGTTTAAACTACATCCATTCCAAGTAGAATAAGTTTCTTAATTTTATAAGAACATTGTTTTACCACACTGCTATACTATAATAAAATATCATTGATAACACCTCTACATTTTGTTAAAATGTATTTCTAATGTTGAGCTTCTTAGCTGAAAAGAGCATTCACAATAAGACCAAGTGTTTTACAGCATAAAATCTGAATAAAACAAATGTTTAAAAACTTACAACTTTACTTTGAGTTATATACTTACATAAATAACTAAACAACTTAAATAACATTGATTTATGGAGTGACATCAGCATTATGGTGACAGATGATGTCTCTCATTAGAACACATGAACAAGCATGTCTCTGTAGGAATTGTGAGATGCTACACCATATGCCAAGGGACAGAGGATGGATCTCACCCACCTGTGCTTGGGATAATAGGCAGATAGACTTCAGTACTGGTTTCACAAGAGCCTGTGAACCACCTCCAGCCCCTCTTGACCTTGGTCTGCTAGCTCTTGGGAAACACTGACTGGGATAATGACCCACAGACAAGAGAAGTTCATATTTCCAGAGGAGAAGTTCCAACACTCTTCTAGATTTTTTAAAGAGTTTAAATGAATGGAAGTAAGAGAAATAGCTTGACTTTGTCTGTACCACCCCTTCCCAAAGCAATAAATTCTAGGGGTAAGCAAGACCATCTTAGCCCTTGAGTTCTTCCACAAAGGAAAAGAAGATCAGGTGGTAAGTGCTAAGCTTCTGGAGCTGTGCAGAATGCTGCCAAAGAGACTGATTTCTCTTATTGCATCCAGAGTACTAAATAAGAATCTTCCTGATTGGAGAGAGGAAAGTGATCAGGAGAGAGGAAGATTAAATTCTCAGAGGGCATTAAAGGACTTTGTGTGACTGTGTTGTGAATTTCATCAAGAAGTCATCCCATGTGCCAATAAGAAAGCATCACATGCAGATACCCCAACTGACAACAACAAAAAAAACTTAAGAACTAAGACTACATCAAGGCAAAAAGTTTCTGCACAACAAAAGAAACACGTAACATCATGAAAAATCAGCCTACCTGATGGGTGAGAATTTTGCAAACTATGTTATCTGATAAAAACTTAATATCCAAAATGCATACAACTGTAACAAAAGCCAAACCACCTAATTGCAAAAATGGCCAGAGGAACTGAGTGACATTTTTCCAAGAATATATACAAAAGACCAATAGGTACATGAAAAAATGTTCAACATAACCAATCATCAGGGAAATACAAATTGAAAACAATGACAATGACTGTCATCAACAAGATAAGAGAGAACAGGTGCTAGCAAAGATGTGGAGAAAAGGGAACCATTGTACACATGTTGCCGGTGGGAATATAAATTGATGGAGCCACTATGGAAACCAGTAGGAAGGTTTTTCAAAAAATTTAAAGTAGAACTACCATATGACTCAGAGATTCACCTTCTCGGTATTTATGTAAAAGAAATGAAATCAAAATGCCAAAGAGACATCTGTGCTCCAGTACTTATTGCAGCATTATTCACAACAGCTAAGATATGGGAAAAACCTAAATGCCTATCAATAGATAAATGATAAAGAACGTGGTCTAGACTGGTCAGGGGAAGATGGCGACGGGAGTCGGGCGGAGCAGATTCTAGCTCCCGTACTCCTGGGTGAAAATCCTGGCAGATCTATAGAAAAGCAACACACTAATCCATCAGTTATCCAGCATTTGTGAAAATAAAAGAACAGAGATTGTGACGGACGCTGAAACACCAGAAAGCGGCAGGTGAGTGGGGTCTTGGGGACCAGAGTAAAGACACAGTGGCGTGGGCCAGCGCCCCCGGCCAGGTGGCCCCGGTGCTGCCTCTGCAGCCAGGGACCAGAGCCATCGGTCTGAGACCAACACCAGAGGTGTCTGCCACAGGAGCCTGGGCACCCAGCGGCCCCAGTGGCCACCAGCGCGGGCCAGCAGCTCCCCCACTACCTGTATAAGCAAAACTGGACAACGCCAGGCAGAGACCTGCCTGCTTGCCGGCTTGCTTTATCAGGGAGGGTTACAAAGACACAGGGCCTGGTTCAACTGCAGATTCTGTGGTCGCAAGCCTGGGAGAATTGAGAGACCCATTGGCCTCACTGGTCTGGTT